GGAATAGGACATATTTATCTCTTTCAGTAGTAGTGTCAATGTCATTCACACTTCCATTAGTTCAGTATGCGAATACACTGCCTTATTTGATCGGTTTTTCAATGGTCAGATCATCTGAGAGTCTCTGATTGGTAGGAGATAGAGCATGTGTTAGGGATGATGATCGTGGTGGTGATGGTGACGATTGTGAAGGTTGAAAATCCCCATTCAGTCGTATAGAAAAAAAGGCGTTCAGAGAAGAGTTAATGTTTTTGGCGACAGTGAAATAAAAATCAAGGTGTCCCACTACAACAAGATCTTCATACCCCTAGTCACCAGGTTAGTAATCTGTTTTTCAATGCTGCAGTGTGCTTCAATTGATTATTTCTTTTTTTTTAAATTGCTTTTCTTGTCATTTTCGTCTTCACCTTCGTGTGTAGCTCTACCACATTGTGTATGTGGATTAGCCTTACTTGATTCTCCACTGGCTATTTTATCGCATTCTGGAACACACTTGATACATGCATACAAGTACAATTCATCGTCTATTGTTCTGCCAGATCCTATACAACTACGTCGATTGAAGCGTCAACATCTGAATTCATCATCGTCATCTTCAAATAATCAACAGTATTCATCAGAGGAATTTCTATTCCCGAAACCTGATGATCACATTCCCTGTTGTATAGAAGTTTATCGACATGTGAGTCAGATTTCCTGCTTTAATGGACATCACTAGTCTTGTTGTTCTATGTTTGTTTGCGAGTGTATGTGTGTGTGCGTCCGTGATTTGTCGTTAACCTCTATTTTTGTTTTGTTTTTTTGATGAATATTCAGATATTTCTCTCCGCTTTAATAAAGATAATAATAGCTTTATTCTGAAATATGTGTGTATGTGTGTGTGTGTGTGTCTACACACAATACAGTATTTTCGGGGTGTGTTCTTATTGCAGGGTAGGTATTTACGACTTGTGCAAAATCATCAAGTAACGAGATAATCGTATTAGGTAGTCCCGTTAAGGCACTAACAACAACAAGAGTATCGCGAGATGTGATGTCATCTCGTAGTTTGTTCACGATCTCTTTACAATCATCTTTACAATTGTTCACAATGTACACAAAGTCCTGACCTTATGTTATTGTAATTGTCAAAGCTCTTGCTATCCAAAGCAGCAGATATGGATTCGTGTCATTTTGCGTAAACTTTGTCGGATTTTGTAGATTATACGAATGGATAATGCATCAAATGCTGTGCGTCGGTGGCACAGTGGTTAGGACTCTCGCCGACCATGCACATGGTCCGGGGTTCGAGCCCACGCCGACGCACACCTGATATTATCTATGGTCGGCCTGCAAAATTTGGGCTACCGATATCACATGCTGAAAATTCCATACTTGTACCGAAAATACGGTGTGGAATCAAGCTGTAATCAAAAATAAAAGTAAAAAATAAATAATCTACTCTGTATAACCAATATAGATTAAATAATGCCTTTACGATCTCCCCTTCTCTGAGTAAGGCTTGGGAGGCGGTGTGGAATGAGGCGGCGGGATATGTTTTTCAACGAACGTTCTATGTACCTAGCAGGTGAACATGTGAATACACATGAAATTGAAGAATTGAGGTAATATTAGCTTAAGATTCAGGCTGTACCAGTGGACGGTTAGAGCAGATTATTCGTAGATTGCGACAGCAAAAACCTAATGATCCTGTCAGTCGAATGTTAAGGACTTCACTCACTCTCAGTTTCACCTATAAACTCTAAGTTTGTATGCATCACTTTCGTAGCTACCTTGGCCCTCTTCGTATTTCTTTCATATGATTTCCTGTTGGTCTCGATAGGGAAAGACTCAAGAAAGCTAATTGGTGCTGTCTATTGTGATTTATGTGTATATGTCTGTCTGTCTGTCTGGATTCAACATAGAACTTGGCACCGAAGTGCAGCAGTTCCAGTTGCCACCTTCCAAATAGCACACAGAGGTAGACAAGAAGATGAGTGAAGAGAATCAATACAGTCTGACAAGTATAAGAGTGAAACAGAATGGGTAATGGTAGAAAGGAATATGAAAGATTACAGAGACTGAATACATCTGCGCTGGCCATTGACAACGATTTTGAGCCATGTCACCTATTGTCTCCAGCCATTGATTCCTAGAGTCCCGAGGGCCGCAACCCGGGAGTCTGCATCTCCCTACCTGACTCAGTTTAACTGTCAAGGATTTCATGGATTGATGAGGCCATGTTTTTGTTTGGCCACCACTGGCTCTTTTCCAACCTGAATCTATATCAGCTATGTATAGCTACGAAAGTGAAATTGTCGAAAAGAGAATTTTCTTCGGTGGATAATCTATCAATATTCTGGATTCCAAACAACGAGTTCCGCTTATTAGTTTGAACAAAGAAAGAACGACTATATATGGATGTATACTTGCAGGATAATACGACCTCATTCCATATTCCGTGGATTCTTGTTCAAATGCATACACATCCTAAACGGTATTATCAAAATACAAGTTACACAAAATGATCTGAACACATACCTTTCTAACAGTGACATCGACTTATGGATAGAAAGTGTGAGCAACATAACTTATATTCAATGTGCGTATACAGAAAGCCAGGGTGACTAATCTATCATTACCCTGGTAACTGTAGTTGTTTTATTCGTGTGCCATTTTTTTCTCTTTTCTTCTGTTGCGTAACACTCCATTTAATGTTGACTTTGATGTTTTTACACTGACTATTCAATTTCTGAGTTTACTTCAATGTTTGTCTATTATGTCGTAATTGTAATTTGCCAATGCACTCTCACCCTGTTGAACTCTGTCTCCATCGTAGTATGTATAAATTCACTGTGTTGTCTTCAACCTTGTATTTTGTCTCTAGTCAATCCCTGTTTCGAAGCAAATTCTGCTGTCGATAGTTAATCCTTTAAAAACTGAATAGTTTATCAAATTACATCATTATTTCGATTTTATTGCCTGTATTTCCTATCCATAAGTCGATGTCATTGTAAGAAATGTATGTTCACATCATTTTGTGTAACTTATATTTCGATAATACTGTTTAGGATGATGTGTATATAGTTGCAGGAAAATCCACGGAATATGAATGAAACGAGGTCGTATTATCCTGCAAATAATGTCCTGAATATATCGTTCGTCAACTCTAGTATTGTACCATTGTCTTGAAGTCAATTGGTTGGTAGGTTGATGGTGGTGACTGGCAGTGGAATCCAGGATGCACATTCGGTGTTTGACTCTATAGACACTGGGTTCAAGCCTCGGTGGAAACACCATCACTGACTCACAGGAGAATGCAGGTACATCCAACTGGCAGACGAGTCTCAAATAGGACGAAATGCGCATCCTGGTAGATTCCACTGCTAATCACCAATGGACTCCAAGTTACTTGACCCGGCCTCGTCGAAGCATCTGCACAAGCAGCTGACATATCAACTTGAGACCGAGCGCTTCTGCCCAATCAATCGACGGAGAAGTCTAAATTGAAATAGATACCATTGTCTTGTCTAAAAATTGTATTCATATTCAGCAGCAAAACTCCTCGTGTGGAAGTGCCTTATAGAAAGGCACTTTAAACGTGAAATGGACGTTGTCAGTAAATAATAGTAATAAATCTTTCAGATAAATTTGAAAGGAAAATGGAACGGAAAACAACTAGAAGATATGTAATCACAAATAACATCAACGGTCTTAATCAGCGGTACATTAGTAAACAAGGAATTAACATTAAAGGAATACACCACCTTCAAATCTTCTATGTTCGCATCTACAAGACAGTCAACAATTTGAAATGTAGCCTTTATCCAAAGCAAACTTACATAATTCGAGTTTTGCATAGTGGGCTTAAAATGTCTTCTAACCATTCTGACTAATTTATGTGTATGAGCGACGACAACGACATTTCATCTTTGGTTGTCGGTTGTACAGTGGTAGAACGCTTGCCAACCACGAGTGGGGTTCAGGGTGCGATCCCCGGCCTACGCACTCCTTTACCTCGCTAAGCCAGTATTGAGATTGTTAAAGAGGGAAAGTTGGGTATAAGGCTGGTTAGCAAACACCACTGCTACAGAAACTTCAAGTCTCTAGCTTGAAGTCCCCTATGACAAAGATTACACTTTGGCTTTACGCAACGAACCTTCATTATTTTTCTTTATCCTTAAGGATTTCATTAGGTGTTTTATTTATAAATAGTGTCTTGTGAATTATGTTATCTGATCATATTGTTTCCTCAGACATGGCGGTATCGACGGTCTTCCGCATATCGAAATGACTCAACGAACTGTGTTGGTTTGGTTGGAAGGAGCGTTCTTGCATGCATCTTAACGTGTAATAAAGATTGTTTGCATAGCAGCACGGTCAAACTTAAAGTAGTTGCCATCATTGTGAAGGTGTCTTATGCAGTGTTTGAGAGGGTGTTGAAGTGAATTTTGTTCTGGCTGGCGAATAGTGGATCGTAACAGCAGGAAGATGCCTCTCTCAGTTGGGTTATGTTGCCACTCGACTCTGGTTAATTAGGAGGTTATAAAACGTCTACTCCATTAATTTTACATTCTGACTTACTTACTCTGAGGTGAACAGCGGGTTTTGATCCTAGTGTGTGACTCTTGATCAGCACCCACCCACCGGGGTTAGTACCCAGGAGTTCCTGCTTACATGGCGATCTTGTAGTTCATTCAGCCACTGATGGGACCCTAATTCGACGGTCTATGAATTCCAATTTCTGCTAGTTCGTGATATATGGGGAATCGTGACCAGCGGGGTACACCAAGAAATGAGGTTGGAGGTTACGCTAGGATGAAACAGCTGTCCCCAATACTCTATGGTTTTCTAATAGTTCTCTGACTGATGTGTCAGCTCGTGACCTAAGTACTCCATTTGTTCTGTTTGCAAGTTAATGTGTAGCACTTAGACGATTTCAGTGATTCCCTGTAAATCCACTTAATCTTTTCTCTTTTTTTCTTTTCTACTCTGTTTCATCATAAAAAATTTAATGTAGCTACGATTTGGTGTTTCTCCACAATTTGATGCCCACCTTTTAGAAGCAACTAAAGGAAGCTTAACCTTTACATGTCCTATTTGTCCCACAGTGCTGTGTACTCGTTGGGCCTTAACACAGCATGCATTTTCAGAGCATTGGGTAGGTGTTGGTTTCTTTTTGTGTTCGTTTGTCCGTGTGCCGTCGTGTCTTTTACCTTGTAATAATAATTCATTTTTAGTTAACCGAGTTGTCTGTCTATATCTGATTTAAAGATACTTTTCTCTGAAGTTAAGTAGCAGCATCCATTGATAACGAAGTGTCAGTTAGTTAGTCGATGTTTTATTCAAATTAGCCAACCGGTATATTCACATCACTTTGAAAACACTTTGAAGAGATCCACAGCGTTTAGTTACAATAACAAGATCCGGATTTTAACACCAATGTCAAATCAATAATTCTTAGTCTGTTGAAGACTTGGTGTTCACGCTACACTATATAGGTATTTACAACATGGTATACATTTATATATCTGGTGAAGTAGGAGTTACCCAGGTGACTGTTTGTGTAGTATTACGACGACTACTACTACCACACGCTGTACGATAAACGTGCAGTTTCAGTTTAACGGCAAAACATATCGTCATAGCACTAAGCGTCCTCTCGGGCCTTCTGTCAGCCAATATATTTATGCCAATAATTAGATAAAATTAATTGGTGGATGGTGACTAGCAGTGGAATCTCGTCAACTAGCTGGATGTACCTGCATTCCTCAGTGAGTCATTGATGGTGTTCCCACCGAGGCTCCAAACCTGGTACAAATAGTTTCGAACGTCAAAGCGTCAACCTGAGACCGAGCACTTCGGTCCAATTAATCGACGGGAAAATCTGAAACTGAATTAAATGAATTAGAGAAAACTGCCCACTTGACATGTTCATCAACAAAATGGTTATTAAGATACCTGAAAAATCCCAATGCAATTATTAATTTGAATAGAAATCCATTATCATCCATTGCAATGCACTTATTCATGTGAGGTCACAAAATCAATACTAATGACTGCTTCACAATGATTCATCACATGACTTTAATTCAAGGTTATTTATTAAGGGAATGGAAGAGTACTTTGGACTTAGTCCCATACTTCCTAAACTCTGTGTACAGTCAAAACAATAGACTTGACACCTTGCTTTGTCTACGTTGGACTACTTGACCTATTCAAATATGACTGGTCATTAGTGCAGCTGACTTGCATCTAGCTTTTCCCAGCCGAAATATGATTAGACAATGCGTCAAGGATAGATTACCGCTTTTGTCCACGTCTGTGTGCATTTACTCTTTTACCTGCTCTTGTGGAGCTGATTATATTGGCCGTTGTAAGCGTAATCTCCGAAAACTTGTAGCTGAACACTATCCGGTTTGGTTAATGAAAGGCGAACGAAGAACTGCGAAGTCATCTATTTGTAATCACCTGTTAGAGTGTGGTCATTTCAAAGTTATCTGCATGGGAAAATCGAATCGATCCAAAAGTTTACGTTTTCTTCCATTATGGCTAAATTTTTGTTTTGATAAAGTCTCACAGTGCTATACATTAATGTTTACTGATGACGTTTCGAGCACAATTTATTGCTCATAATCATATGCATAGCCGAAGTTTTAGCTATACATGAACATAAACCTAAATTGTGTTCAAAACCGTTTTGTCAAACCCCTTTCTTTACCTTGGTCATAGTAATGTTCTTTCATATAGGTGCATTCAATGTAAGAACACTTTGCCAAATAGGACATTAAGCATCACTAGCTAAGACCCTGGCATCCCGAGCCATTGATGTATGTTGTGTTTCAGAAACACGCTTACAAAACCCAAGTGCGGTTATTCACCTAACCCCACCTGGCCAACAGAATGAATCTTCAAAATTCACCTTGAAGGTGTCAGGAGATGCCACAGCCAGTTCACGAGGATTAGCTGGCGTAGAGATAGCTTTAAGTACTAGGGCAGAAAAGACATTACTTGACTGGATCCAGGTAGATAGCCGAATGTGTTCTGTCCGCCTGAACGGGTCAGTAAAAAAGAAGAAAGGAATGCACTACTCGCCGATGCCTTTTCGTAATCTCCGCCTACGCCCCCACTGACTGCAGTTCGAATGAAAAAAAGGATGAGTTCTACCAAAAGCTGTCTAGTTTGGTGAGAAAGGCTAAACGCTCAGATATAGTCGTTCTAGCTGGTGACTTTAATGCTCAAGTAGGGAAATTGTGTCAATCTGAGGAGGATGTCGGTGGCACCTATGGAGTTCCGTCCCAACGGACCGACAACGGTGACCGTCTCCTACAGTTCTGTCCAGATAATCATAACACAAGGAGAGAAACTGTTTGACCTGGCGACCCCCATCACCAAACCAACGCTGGACACAAATAGACCACATAGCAATAAGCTATCGTTGGCACGGGTCTGTAGGAGAATGTCGCTCCTTCTGGAACACGTGTGTAAATACCGATCACGCACTTGTCTGCACCCGGGTGTGCTTACGACTGAACGGACGTAGGAAACAGCTGGCGGTAAACCCATCACGTCGCAAGCTCCATCAGGAAACTAAATCTCTATTTGAGGAAGAACTAGCTAAACACATATCTGAGTTCGACAGCTGTGCTCACCCTGAAGAAACCTGGAAGAATATTCAGTCGGCCATAGATACAGCTGTAAAAGCTGTTAATAAGGTAAACCCAAAGGTGAGTAAAAACCATTGGATCTCCACCGCCTCATCCGAACTGATAGACGCTAGAAGACTTATTCCGGCGAGCTCCGATTTCAATGAGGAGCGAAAACTGCACAAAAGGAAACTCACGAAAAGTCTAAGCAAGGATCGTGAACAGTGGTGGGTGACAAAAGCGAAAGAGATGAAGAAACCTTCGAGGATAGGCAACACTAAGTAACTCTTTAGACTCATCAGGGAAACGGGTGGGAGAAGGCAAATCATAAGTGAGACTATTTCTGAGAAAAATGGCACCATACTTAGCTCTCCGGATAGACGCCTTGAACTCTGGAAAGAACACTTTGAGGGACAATTTAACTTGCCTACAGCCACACTGAACCTCCCCGACATCCAGAACACACCCGAATGGGATATAGACACTGGTCCGCCGTCTGTAAGTGAGGTCACAAAAGCTATCAGTAATTTGAAACGAGGCAAAGCGGCAGGACCCGACGGAATTATTCCGGAGGTGTTTAAATATGGGGGTGACATACTAGTTTGTAGATTAACTGAGGTACTAGGCAAAGTCTGGGAATCAGAGACAGTGCCATCAGACTGGGGTAAGTCACTTATTATACCGATATTCAAGAAGGGAAACAAGTCCTCGTGTGATAATCATAGGGGGATCAGCCTAACGAACATAGTCTCTAAAATCCTAGGCTCAGTAATCATGCATAGACTAAGGAGAACTCGGGAGGAACAAACGAGGGAAAATCAAGCAGGCTTTAGACCAGGTAGAGGGTGCATAGATCATATCTTCACTCTTCGACAGATTCTAGAACATAGACACACTTTTCGGCGTCCAACAATTGCCATATTTCTTGACTTGAAGGCGGCCTTCGACTCAGTGGATCGGAAGGTACTATGGCAATGTTTCACTATGAAGCGAGTGCCAAGAAAGTACATTGCACTAATCAAGGCACTCTATTCAAACTCACGTAGTCGTGTAAGGGCTTATGGGGAATTGTCATCTGAATTGGTAACAACCAGTGGTGTCCGACAGGGATGTCCACTTTCCCCATTTCTGTTTAACTTCATCATAGATATGCTAATGGAAGTATCCTTAAGTGAACGTAATGACTTAGGAATCGACTTGTTACCAGGGAATAATCTTATGGACTTAGAATATGCAGATGACATAGTCCTGTTAGGGGAGGATGCTGACAAAATCCAGCAGAGTCTTCTGAACACCTTGAGCAGCAATCTTCGTATGTTTGGCATGCGATTTGCCCCTGCAAAATGTAAGATGCTGCTACAGGACTGGACCACGTCAACCCCTAACTTAGTGATAGGGAGTGAAGTGATAGAACATGTTGACCACTTCACCTATTTGGGAAGTTGTATCAGCACCAACGGACTGATTGGTAACGAAATCTCAGCACGGATCCAAAAAGCTCGAGCTGTTTTTGCCAACTTACACCATCTCTGGCGTAGGCGTGATATCCGGCTATCAACCAAGGGGCGTGTGAACTGCTCATCAGTTCGCTCCGTCCTTCTCTATGGCTCTGAAACATGGCCAATACGAGTTGAAGACATGAAATGGTTGACTGTTTTTGATCATAGATGTCTACGATCTCTTTCTCACGTTAGGTGGTATAATAAGGTAAGTAATGTTGACGTTAGGCGTAGAGTATTGGGCAAAGAGGGAAAATCAATTGACGAGGCTATAAAGTTACATAGATTGAGATGGCTAGGTCACGTGGTGTGCATGTCTAACCATCGCCTCCCCCGACGGGCATTACTAGCTGACATAGGTGCAGGTTGGAAAAGGGTAAGTGGTGGCCAAACAAAAACATGCCATCAATCCATGAAATAAATCCTTGACAGTTAAACTGAGTCAGGTAGGGAGATGCAGACTTCCGGGTTGGGGCCCTCAGGACTCTAGGAATCAATGGCTGGAGACAATAGGTGACATGGCTCAAAATCGTTGTCAATGGCCAGCGCAGATATATTCAGTCTCTGTAATCTTTCATATTTCTTTTTACCATTACCCATTCTGTTTCGCTCTTATACCTGTCAAACTCTTTTGATTCTCTCCACTCATCTTCTTGTCTACCTTTGTGTGCTATTTGGAACGTGGCAACTCGAACTGCTGCACTTCGGTGCCAAGTTCTATGTTGAATCCAGACAGACAGAATGTTCTTTCTAGTTTTTATTTTATCTTATTTCACCACTTGAACTCTTTCCACTTCACTTCACATCTTCATTCTAATCGTAATCGTACTCCTAATTTTTTTAAATTTTTAGACAACACTTGACATTTTTGATATTAATTAGCTTATAAAACAATCTTTAATATTTTTGTAATTTATCCACTTCAACTCCACGCCTTATAACATTGTAATTATGGTTATTCTTACCACATGTATACGAACATTGACTGAGCAATTATTTAGTGCTACTTAATAACC